TAGAAACATCCAAATATTGCTTTTACCATATGATCAGAACCATCAAAATTAGAAGAGAAAATCGTATCATTCAATCCGTTTAAGCCATCCAAAACATGAAGGTAATTTTCCTGTTAAAAAAAACATTTTATATTTAATAGAATAAAAAGAGATATGTTAATTTTAAATAAAATTCATCATGCCTACGTGCAATAGTTCTAAAAATGAAATTTGGTCAGGTTGGTGCCTCTGACTTGGTTCACACACGTTAGATTGGTTCCCAACACATGAACTACCATCTGGTCTCACAATTTTTCCCTTCTTCATTTTCGCATTCATTTGTGCCTGATTCATAAAATGCTTTAAATAATTAGTGACCAAGTAAATATTAAAACAATGAAAAGCTAAAAGTAAATTACCTTTGTTTTCTTTGCATCAAGCTCAAGTGAGCCTTCCGCGGTGCACCTTTTCTTTTGGTGAAATATGGGTCAAGTATTTTATCCCCTGAAGCTATTCCCCGTTCTATTTCACCAACACAACTATTTGGCTCTAAATTACTACCGCTCAATGAATTAGACTGCAAAGCCACCAACTCAACTGTTTACATTTCGATACATTTTTTAACATCCTTGAACCCGAACTCATTATGTGCTGCAATATCTGCTAGCCTTGTAAAATCACGACACAATTCATCATACCTTTCTTGTCCTGGTGCGACTATCCATCCGTTGTAGTTGATCTTGATCCGCATATATAGCCGACTCACATCTCTTATCCATCTTCGTAAGATATACTTATCCGGAACAGACCACACATGATTCAGGAGGAGGGCTGAAATCGCATGTTTACATAAAATTTCCCTGAACCCAAACATATGGCAACTACAGAAAACTTCACACTCTCCACGATTAAATGCCACAACAAGTGCTTTTTGTTTAACTATTTTTCCATCGTGTTGAACATCCTCGACTATTTTGTACTCTGATCCAAAAGGAATTTCAACACTGCATTTAATATTACAGTACATCTTGTGAGTCAACTCTTTCTGAAACTCTTTAAATTTATCCCTAATGTACGCAACTTGAAATTGTCTCTCCGTTTCATATACGCTCACGCATGGGACAATTTGTGAATAAGAGCGGTAATTTGCTTCAAACTCTTTTTCCACCTTACTTCGCAAAGCAAGCTCATACTGCTCAACAAATTGTTTTAAAGAGGTCTTGGAGTGGAGATATCCGTTGAAAAATGAATTCATACTCTCACTCCGTTGTGTTGATGACATTCATGGCCAAAAATGCATATTCAGAAAACAAGGAACCCAACGAAATCTTTCTACATATAATCCTGTCAACAATTCAAATGCTTCTAACTTATAATCGATAATCATTGAAGACCACTCTTGTTCAAATTCTTGAGCTGTTTGGGACTCATAAACTACTGCTCGAATAGATGAAAAAAGTGCATCTTTATGGCTATGATATCCAAGCTTTTCAGGCAATTTTTTTAGTATATGCCAGAGGAACCTCCTATGCCTAGTTTATGGGAATACAATTGCAATTGCATTTTGCATTGCGCTATCTTGATCAGTTATAATCCCAAGCGGATGTTGATGTTCCATGCATTCCAGCCAAACTTTGAACAACCAAATAAAAGTATTTGTATCCTCACTAGAAAGAAGAGCACAACCAAGGTGCATTGATTGGCCGTGATGATTAATCCCCACAAATGGAGCGAAAGGTATATCGTACCTGTTTGTCAAATAGGTTGTATCAAATGAGACAACATAGCCAAACTTCTTATAAGCTTGTCGACATCTATTGTCAGTCCAAAAGACATTCCGTAATCTATAATCCTCGTCCTTATCTATGTAGTAGAAGAAACCTGGGCTTTGGTTAGTCATCTTTGAGAAATAAGCTTGGATAGAAGATGCATCTCCCTCTCCTAACCTCAACCTCCGAACTTTATCAATATAGTTGCTACAGTCTTTTTCAACAAATGTCATGTTCTCGTATCCCCCAGACCTAACAACATGAGAGTGAAAACTTTTATGGATTGTTATTCCTGCAATGTCATTGAGTTGCAAATCCCTTTTCACTGATTCATTAATCTCTCGATTGCATCGGAATATTCTAGACTTTGTAGGGGTTGTTGGATGATTGTGTTGTAGCTCAACAGCTATGATGCTCCAAAGTCCAGTAGCATCTGTGCTTGCCGTCAACTTAGCTTTGCAACCGGTTTTACTTGTTGGGTGAGGATTAAGTGGATTGCATGCATTCTCCGATCTATTGCCTTCACGACTGCATGTATATGTCACGCTTTCAAGATCTCCGTTATGGCCTTTTCTGGAGCTCTTCCTTCTAACAGGAAATCCCACGAGATATCCGTATTTTTTTTTTAGAATTGATAAACCTCATCCACGGTGAAAAATTTCATCCCAATTGTAGGAATATTCTTTGATGAATTCTCATTGTCCTCCCCAACCTTGGCAGGACCATCCTCAATTCTAGAATCATTTGAGTTTGTCATCTCCTCATCAAGCTCTATATTTATCCTTGATTCTTAATTTTTTGTATCATCAATAAAACAAGCAAACATATGCAAAATCATCAGCACATTAATGAAGAATATGCATTAATTCACATTTAACACAAGTAATTAAAACTCTATTTACACCATGATTAAAGCAAGAATCTAAGATATGAATTTAGAAATGTTGAGCAAATAAACCAAATTGACTCTTATCCTGCCTAGAAAAAATGAACAAAGAAGCGAATTTATTATCACTTTTGGAGCAAGGGCTATTTTGAAAAATAATAGTCCCAACAAATTCGTAGTTTCATACAATTCTAACCACATCTTAAGAGAATGTTCAAAATTTTAAAATACTGTAATTGAGATGTCTGATTTACAAAGAATTAAAATCTCTAAAAAGTACCCCAAGATTATATGTGTCAAGGAAAATCAGGCCCTTGACAAGAGAGGAGCATCAATACTAAGAACGGTACATGGTTTTTATTGGTCAATCATTTTTCATTCAAGATGCTGGTTGAAGCTTCAATATATCACCAAGAAACATATCAATTTTAGATTTCTCTAAAATTTCATTAAAAGCCCTCTGAATTTAACTAACTTGAAAAAAAAAATTGAAAAGAAAAACTAAACAATAGAATTCTCAAGTGAGGCGCTAAACACTTACATGCGTCATTCATATCGGATGAAATGGGTGAAGGTAATTGTGATTTCTCCAAAAAAAAAAAAAAAAAAGCATTACGAGGATAGACGATGATATTTCATGAAGATAGGGGATCATAATTAATTTGGCCGATGAAATGAGAGGAAGAAACTAAGAAGAAATTAAAATTTTGTGCGGCAAGCTCGAGCAGGGAAAGAACTAAAATTGATCTTTTGTGCTCAGGGTGAAGCAGAGGAAGAACTAAAATTTTGTGACGTTTGGTTTCTTTGGAAACCTAAAATTGGGTTTTTTCAATAGATCACGATATTTTAATTTGAGATTATCAGAATTTGTCGTGATTGTGTATCTCATTGTAAAAAGTCATTGTACAAATAGCATTTCTCAATATAGTTTGCGGCAAGTAAAACCATGTGCTCGCACGTGACGTGTATTTAGCCAAATAATGAGAGTGACGACCTAATTTAATGACGCGGAGTAAAAATATTTTTAAAAAAAAAATGAAAAACTCTAAATTTCCACATGGTCACGTAAAAATTAAATGGAAGTTTAAAGGGCAACCTTTTCCTCGATATCCCACTGGGTTTACCACCAATAAAAGGGCGGTTATCCAGATCCAACGCTCAGTTGAAATAGCTGAGTGCTCTGAGTCATTTCTGACAAGGTATATACCAAAGATTTCAACTATACCCCTCTTTCAGGGTATAACTTGGAATCCTATTCGGTGTAACAGTGCAACATCTCTCTGAAAGCTAAATCAACAATAATACTCTTTTGAAAAATGCTAGGTCCCGTAACGGAACTGACGTCGGTCTCTTCAACCTCAACTTTCTATTTTCCTCAAGAATCGCATAAATTACACCATCCTCGAGGTCTTCAACAACGATTACCGCCTTGACTAGGCCCTCTTCCGCGACAAGCTTAGGTGCAACTTTGAGGTCCTCTGCATCTCCAAGCTCCCTTAGGGTTTGGCAAAAAAAGCTCAATTCGGTTGGTCGAACCCTAAAAGAAATGAGGCAGATTTTATCCTCTTCGACTTTCCAGCGGTATCATATCCGATTCATCTCCCTGTCAAGAAGGGTTTCTTTTTTTAGCCCTAAATATTGGAGTATACTGTAAAAGCTTGGTTGTTTTGTTACTCAACAATTCCATTTTAAATGAGATGTATGTTTTAAGTCAAGTGAATGCTCGTAGTTTAATTATTTATGTGAATATAGTTCTTTTATTTTACATTGTAGATAATATGGTACAATATGTCGAATAGAAAGATTTTATTATCGGTGTCTTGTAAAATATAAATATTTGTTCACAATCTAGACGAAATTGAACTAACTGTGGTGAATGGTTGTAGTATGATCCTTGAATTAGTTGGTCTTTGACTAATAGATTACACTACAGCATCCCGGATGTATTGAACAGACCAACAAAGGAAATGATTATTTTATACTAACCAAGTAAATAATCTAGATCTCAGTAATTGCTACGTTTCTCTTAACCCGTAAGACAATAAACGAACATATGTAGTCGGAACTTACTTATTTGATTTATCATGAGTGATACTTATTCTGGTAGGTTGACATACTTGATATTTTGGTAAGTGACGTAGGTTACAAGATGTGCCGCTTAAATTGTTTACGGTCACCATGTTTCAAAAGACGGGTTGATGACGTCCCCAAAATGAGCTCAAGAAGGATTATTATACTAAGCTCGGCTGGCAGATTAATTTTTGACATAATAATAAAGAATTTAATGGTACTAGTTTCTGATTCGAGAAGATTATTAATTATATTGTCAGCAATTAAATTAGTCAACAGACACGACGCGACTCGGTGATGAAGGCCGCAACGACCGACTCCCTCGACGATCCCTCGGTGACGATCGACGTTCTTCGGGGATCAGTGGACAGCGGTCGGCGACCCAACGAGGCTCAGATGATCTCCATCAACGAAAATCAGAAACGTTTTAGAGTCGGCAAAATATAGAAATGCAAGTCCTAACAATAGATTCTGCTGCATTAAGATTAAATTCGTTAAGTATTGGAAGGTGCACATGAGTCAACATTCTTAACTGAACAAACAACCGAGGCGTGTGTTGGGACGTTCTATTAGGCCGGATCAGGTGACGGCAGTGTGCCGGGGGCGGCGGGCGGCGGCTGGGCGAGGGCGGACGATAGAGGTGCATGATTTGTTCGCGCAGGTTTGTGTGGTCGCCGCGTGCATCACATGGTAGCATGCACCCTGCGCCTGCCCTGGCGGTGGCGCAACGCTGGCTCTAGTTGTGCGCGTGCCCCGTTCCACCACAATTGATGGATGGGACGTGCGTGCCAAAGCGTGCAAATAATAATAAAAAAAATGAGAATAGTCGCGCACGTTTTGCGCTCGTGCGCATATGCCCCAAGAGACGTTAGCGCGCAGTACAGTTGGGCACAGAACGCCTACAGCTGCGGCATGCCCCCGAGGCAACGACTTACTTTAACACAAGCAACGATCCGACAGTCCGAAACTTCTACATCGATGACTTTCCCCACGAGAACGATGGTCCAGCTGGGGCGATCCGACAGGGGAAGCAGCGAGACAATGGCTTGTTAAAGAAGAAAAGTTGGAGTCACATGGGAAGAAAATTCCAAGTCCAAAAGGAATCAACAATTCTACAAGGACAATGATTCATTGCTAGTTTCCAAATATGATTGGAATCCTAATTATTGGCAATTATAGTTGGATATATTTCCTTGTTTATTATTTCTCTAACTCTTCATGTACCTCAATTAATTTGTTGGTTTATGTGCAAGAATAATTAATCTTTAGTAGTATCATGCATAGGAAAATATCTTACTAAAAAAGTATACTAAGTGATTAAATAGAATAAAATAAATTTGAAATCCACGACCTCCATTATTGGTTTATTGGTGAAGTTATTAAGTTTGTGCATTGGTAATGTGTCTTCCTCTCTATGGACAAATTTAAAAATGATGAAGACCACACAAAACCCAATTCATTTAGATCATCTTCATTATCTGTTTTACTATATTAAATCTAATATATAGTGACGAATGCCAAATTTTAACTTTCATCTCCAATTATTCGTGTTACCTTTTTTTCAATATAAAATATATTAGTACAAATAAAAAACAACAATAAAATCAAAATTTAAATTACATAACAAAATAAATAATTTTATTACTGCGTATTTTGTCATAATAATATATCGCATAAAAATCAATTAAAAAATAAAAATATATATATAATAGCGCGATGATTAGTGTCACGCCACATATAGTGCGGTACAATTCATATCTTCATAGTAATGCAAAAATGTAGCACAACATTGAAGTGAGGCTTTCATACAACTCTAAAGTAAAGTTGGAATCTGAATCAGCATTTGACTTGCTCTTATAAAGTTTTTGAATGCAATAAGTGGATTGTCACACTCCACACCTAGAAAACCAAACATTAGTTTGATCTTTAAGAATCTAGAAATGATTTATTTTTAGAATCTGGCACTTGTGATATAGGATGATAAATTTATATTCTATGATTAAACATTCCAAAATATAATAGCAACTATCTTCCAACTATACTTGCAAGTCGGTCTTACGTTACAACAACAGCAAAATGGTGGTGGTAGGAGCCAATTTTAAAGCCGACTTTTCTGTTTGATTTTAGCAAGTAGTGGCATAGGACAAGCAATAAATGAATTTATGTCAATGTTGGTTTTACATGTTGCAAGATTGAGCCCTTCTCTCTGAGTTCTTGAAATGCTCTCATTGTCTCCACGTCAAAACCTCCCGCAAACTGAAAAGGGGAAAAAGTTAATGAAACGTGGAAAAAATAAAATTGAATTCCAGAAAATGCAGAAATGTCTATGGAAGTACGTTATGGACGGGAACCATACTGGCGATCACACCGAATGAGTCACCAGTATGCCGTTAAATCAGTATTACCGTTTATTTTACCGATTTTAATAAATATTAATTTAATTTATTATTATAAAACCACGTTATAAATATTAAAATTGATTAAAATCTATAATAATGTAAACATATAAAAAAACCTAAGTGTAGAACTTTCAATTTATGTAATAATAATAAAAATATATAATAATATATATATATTTTAAAATGCGTTATATCTATTTTGGCGGGTTATTTTTGCGATATTTAGGGGTAAAATCGGTATATACCAGTATCTTGGGAAAAGTGGTATTTAGAGGGTTACCGCATCAGCCGGACCACCGATATCCAGTATTACCGGTTTGCCATTCTATATTACGTATAGACTAGAATTGCAATGTAGCCAGATACAATTGTTTTCACCTGATGTACTCGAAAAGCAAACTTTACGCCTTGGAGTATAAGCTCTTCATCTTCAGGGCCACCACCATCATCCACACCAAGCTCAGCCGTCACTCTCTTCATGTATTTCATGGCTAATTTTACGGATGCTAGCTTGATCTGAATGCATATATTAAGTTTGACATTATCAAATCCCCCAGGCCCCAATCATAACTAAACTAATTTAGACAAATTGCTCTGGTTTGACAATTATCCATCCACAGCAATATGAATTTATTATCTTAACAAGATTGATCAAAGGTAAAAAATCTTCCATTGAAAAAAAAAAATCATTAATATATTACACAATTTAGCATATTGCAGATTGAATTGACATAGATATGCGGTAGGTTCAAATGCAGGTGCCGCTAATACAAAATGAGATGGTCTTTCACTAGCTCTTTTTGTCCTGTTTTCCAATGTTTATATCATCAATTTTTTCTTTACTCAAATTCCTTACCACAAGTTATCAATATCTCAACATAACTCAATGAAACTGACAAAAATAAAATGAGAAAAAATAACTAGAAGAGATGTCAAGGTGTTCAGTTTACCTGATTCACATAGCCGGTATCCATCATCCAATTCATTGGAATCTGATACAATTTGTATCGTTTGATAGCCGATTCTCTCATTCTGGACAAATTATATAAACCATGCTCCAATCTGCATCGAATAATGTTCCCTTATGACTTTTCCTAAATATTAGGACTATCAGCATAAGTGAAACTAATTTTGGTAAAAATTCATACTTCTCAAACAAAGATTGCATTTTCTTGAGAGCAGAAGCACAAGGCTGCCTGGGATCATCACGAAAAGACGAAGCATCTGATTCAAGCTTTTTCAAATCAGAGTATCCAAATGCGGCTTCTCTTAATGCATCTGCCTTTTGTTCAGGCCAATCGAAATGCTTCAGAACGGCCCTCTCATCAACCTTCAGTAAAATTACAGAAACTTTTGATCACCATAAGTAAAAATATTGAAATGTACATATAAATAAATCTTAAAATATCAAAATTTTAGTAAAAAATTTACCAAGTAGGATAGCTCATCGTCTAGCCATTTAACGAACGGCAGCACATCTTCAATGTCGGTAAAAGCAGCACCTTCAACTTCTTTAATCAAGAACCTGATGAAATCCCCCTGTGTTTCTACATCTGTCTTAATCTGCATTGAGCGGGAAAAAGAGAAAGTAAATTCAGTTGTGATTAAATCGGGAGGGGGCAAGGGAAGCAAAATGGAAAAGACTGTTTCAAAATTGTCATAAATACTCTACTAACAATCTTGCATTACTTTAAATTGGATTTCGTATTTAAACCGTGTCTTACTTTAGCTTCTGAAAACACAACAAAAGCCCAAAAAATAAAAAATAAAAATGGCAAGATGTGGATTCCGAGAAAAGGACTTGAGGTCCCATTAATGTACCTGACAGAGTGGCATAAATAAACTCAAATAGGTAAAAACTTGAAAAACTTACCGCGAGTAAATGCGAAGAACGGTTTTCAATTTCGCCAATCATATTCTTTGCCACAGCCCCGGCCGTCCAGTCGGAGGGGCAGCCGGCGCTGCCAGAATCCCGGCGGAAATTAGAATCCCTCCTCATCAGCGAGTGGTAAAATTCAACAACTTCCGGCACTCTCCTGACCTTTGCCGCCGCCGGCCTACACTTCAACTCCTTGGTCGGCGGCGGTGGCGGTGGGGGAGGAAATGGCCCGATTTTTGCAGACGGTGGTGGAGGAGGAGGAGGAGGCAGTGGAATGTTGGATATCTCTGCCAGTGCACGATCGGCCGAATGGGATAACGAGCTGTAAGAAGGTGTTGAGACTGACAAGGATAGAGATGAAGACGGCTTAGGAGGCGGCTTTGGGATGCGCGGAACTCGGGATCTTATCCAAGTTTCTGGAATTTCCTCAGAGTTGCATCTCGAGTGACTCGAGTGACTGGGTATCTCCGTGCTCTCAGAAACTTCCTCTCTTTTCAATTCACCTTCCTTCTTCACGCAGAAACTGGCCCAGCTGCTGCTGTTGTTTTCGGTGGGACATTTTCTCAAACACCTTGCGGATAACGAATTCGACTTTTGGTAATTATTGACTAATTTGGGCGTGGTTGAAGATGAGGAGGACGCCGTCTCCTCCTGCTCCGAAACAGCTCTCTTGATATCCAACAACTCTTCCTGCATGTATTTGATCTTCTCCTCGTACTTGCGGTTCTGCCTCGTGAGCTCCATGTGCAGAAGCTCGTTCTCGTGCCTCATCTTCTCGTTTTCCGCCTCCAACAACTCGATCTTCGCTCTACACCGCTCGATTTCTGAGTCCTTGCTCGAGATCTCCTGCTCCAGGACGGGGAGAATGGCCACGGACTCCTTCGTCAGCTTGTGCTCCAGAAGCTCCGTCTTCAGCCGAGACTCCCGCTCGCGCAGCTCCTCGACTACGCGGAGGAGCTCGGCCACGTCCGGCTGGACTTGGGCGGAGCTGCGGGGGAAGTAGACGCTGAAGGAGCGGGAGAAGCCGGCGCCTGAACCTTTCTTGCCTGACTGCTGCTTGGCGGAGGTCGGCGTGGACATTGGCAGTTGTTTAGGGGACGCTTCCGGCTTCGATTTCGCGAGGGATGGTGATTTTTGGAATCCTATTGCCGTTTTCACTTTTCCGGCTACCATTTTTTTTCTGTCTTTTCCTTCTTTTTTCTGATGAAGATTGATTTGCCTTCTCTGAAATTTTTACAATGGCCAATCTGTTTCGAATCTGGGTAGACAAGGACGCCCACTACATAGGTCACTATCGTTCCGAGTGACGAGTGTATAAGAGATGTTCTCAAAGTTTGTTCACAGAAGTGAAAAAAGAAAAAAGAAAAAATCAAAAAGAAAAAGAAATCGAAAATGAGTGAGTGAAAGTAAAGTGTGAGGTGAGTGTCCGCTTGGGGAGGAGAGAGAGGGAGGGGCCTGTAACGAGTATATCGAGGAACGGTCTAATTTTTGTTCTGTTAGAAAAGAAAATTTCAAATTTCAACTACTCCACGCGCTGCCTAAACAGTCTCAAATATTTAATGCTAATAAAAGTATAGTGGGCTCTTTTCATGTTAGTTACCGTGATGTGAAATGAATTCGGATGTTTCATGATAGAAATAGAAACCATCACACGTTTGATGGATTGTTTACTAATTTATCAAATTTTTACTAATTTTTTTTAAGAGAATATTTTATTACAAGACTCAATTTTTTGAAATTGTATCAATTTAAAGTTTGAATTTTATTCTTTTCCTATAAAAAAAACTTATATTTTAAGTTATTCTCAAGTGAATGCTCACTTTTTAATTAATTTTTAATTATAAGGTCCAACTAACTTTACTTTTTGACATAGATATGTAAATTAAGTAACTTTATTTTATGATATAGTTATGTGAACAAAAATATATATTTTTTTGTAATGTATATTTTACATACTTATGATAAAAAATAATAAATATCTCTAGTTAAATTTGGTTAAAACTCGACCGACCTTTCCACTACCTGCCTCCTTACATCTAAAAACCCCAATTCCGACTTTCCCCAGTTTTTCTCCTTTGCAAACTTGTCACTTATATCTTTTTGTGCTCTAGTTTTCGACTTTTCTGCAATTAAGCTTTCAACAGTTCGAGTTTTCTGAATTCTCCAAGCAACCACTCCAATTACGACAATGAGTAAGTGCTCCAATTTTCTAATTTCTATTTTTTATTTGCATTTTTTAATATTGCGTTTATTTTTCTTCCACCCCTCTGGTCATGGCTTCATCATTCATGCTTATCTTTTCGCCCTGAAAAACCCTAAAATACTTCTTTTTTATGTTTTTCTTCTTCTTTTTTTTTCAGATTCCAGCACTTCTAGTGAAAACAACCATCATTCCACCTTAGATATAACTCCACCAGTTTCCTCATCACCTTATCATACCAATCCTGCTTTCCCCATCGCCCTGAAAAACCCTAAAATACTTCTTTTTTATGTTTTTCTTCTTTCTTTTTTTAGATTCCGACACTTCTAGTGAAACCAACCATCATTCCAGCTGAGATATAACTCCACATGTTTCGTCATCACCTTCTCATACCAATTTCACCCCCTCTCCTTCTCTCTCGGTCGAACAGATTCTCCAAGCGACCCTGATTTCCATTCTTCGTCAAACTCACCACGACCATGCAACCTCACCTACCCCCATCTCTCCCACTGTCCCATCTCTTTTCCAATCTATCCCCTTGGTTGACGAACCAGTTGAAGGGATCAATGAGGTCTCTCAGCCCGAACCCGCCCATCGCTCTTGTCGACCTTTCGTACTGTATGATGAGCACGAAGGAGAAGAGAAGAGCGATGCAATTATTCACTCTAAACCCTGAACTGCGCTCTGTTCCTCCTTCGACCACCTTGCCTAACTCAAATATTCCATCTTCTAGCCATCGATCCCTTACACCACCTAACTCCCTCGTACAGACCAGTCCTTCAAACACCTTTTCTAGTGCCACAAGTTGGTTGGACGAAGATCTCGGTACTATCGGCCAACCAGTGGGTTGGGGTTTTTGAAATCCCCGAGACTCAAACGCTTACGACCAGCCTCCTGAAGGTTATTGTACTTTCTTCCAGTGTCAGTTTCGCCTAGGAGTTCACTTTCTCATTTGCCAAGACCTCATCGACTTGTGTGGCATTTTTGGGCTGTCGTTAAACCAACTTCCCACCAACTCCATACGCTACCTTACAACTTTCATTGTTCTTTCTTTCGTTCGCCTAGGTCGAGTTGACCTTGATTTCTTTTATTACTCATTTATAGCCCTCCGCCAAAGGGAAGGGCTCTACCTCAAAAGCAGTAACGACGCCCACTTTCTGTCTAACGTTCCTTCCAACATGCCCAGATGGAACATGTTCGCGGGCTCGAATAGACAGGGGTGTGCGAGTACAAGGGGACACACGCAACTAGGGATCTCGATGCGCACGGATGTGGCTTGCATATAAGCGGGTACGCACGTACGGATGAGTCTAGGCTGAGAAAGCGAGGGTCTGGCAACCATAGGTCTGGAGAGCTGCCACCTGGGAGCAGGTCGCGTGAACTACTCAGTCAAGGTGTGGCTGATGGGCGAAATTGCCAGGACGCAAGAAGTGTCGACGTGACTTGACGAGCAAGAAGACCCGGAGCTTCTAGAAGACTTGGGGACAAAGACTTAGATCTTCTAGAAGATATTATTAGATTAATTAATTATTAGTTTCCTTTTCTTAGTTTTATTTAGTATCTGGATTCTAGCATTTCCCTAATTAATTAGCATTTGCTAAATTAGTTATTTGGTAATTCTTAGGATTCTAGATTTATTATTTCCTTAGGATTATAATTCGATTCATCATATGATTAGTACATTACTCCCCATATGCTATTACTTTCTGTTCTATACATAGCCTATGTATTCATCTCAATTTTCGTATGGATTAAAGTTAATGAAAAACTGACCACTGGTCACCAATTCCTTGTGCTAGAATTCTTAGAGTTTTAATGCAAAATCATTGTGTAGAAAAGGGCATTTCACTGCATAGTTTGTAATAAACTCAGGTTTGAAAAGGATATCATGTCTGAACTGTCTAAAAAACGTCAGAAGATAAGGAGAAATCCAAGTCGTTCACAACTTATCGCCGAGAAGAAAGTCGTGGCAAGAAACATTCGAAGAAACTAAGTTATCGAGATACATGATTCTTCACCAGCTGGGCACGATGCACTCGCGTGCCTCCGGGCCAGCTGCGAGCCAATGCCTACGACCTATCCGCCAGCCCGCCTGATCCCGCGTTGTCCACCTGTACGCTGCGCACGGCTCGCGCGATGGGCGCCCTTAGATTGCGTACTGCCCTGTCGAGGAAGTCATTGCCAAACTGCGGTTGGTCGGGCTGTCGAGGTCCGTGTCTTGATCGCCTAAGCTTGTCCAGAAACCAACAAGATCAAAATTATACTAATTTTACAAGACTGATCCTATACCCACGAATAGGTTTATATGCTCGTCAAAAAAAGCGATAAATATGTACAGTGTCCCACCACGCGAATAAATCTTTTACAAGAATTCAAAAGCCAAAAATCATCGACATGTCCGAGGTTTTAAAAGTTCAATAAATTTAAACAAGCAAGGCTATAACAGTAGATTAGTTTAACACCGACAAAACCAAGTTATGCATATAATCTAATTTATGGCTACGCTCATACATATGTCAGTCACACAAGCCTTAAAAATCAAAAGTAGTATTATAATAGCCCCTTTCTATAATAGAAGAGGCCCAGAAGTCTTGAAGAACATTAGAAAATACACAAAAAATTACCCCCAAATAGAAGTAGCTTTGTTGTAATCTCTCCCTCTTTAAGCTTTCATTTCTATTTCTTGACATTGAAACCTTTGAAAGGACCAGTATACAAAAGAGGCCCGAGAGCAGCCTACTCGATCAATAAAGATCAATGGTGCTGGCCTCTTAATTCGTCGACAAATACAAACCATACAATTTTTTTAGTCTTCTTCATATCCAAGTTAAAATGAACACTAAAACTCATTAAATACCACATAATAATAAAGTCACCGCCTTGATGGTCACGTTACCAACACTGGTGATTGAAAGTTTCGACCATAACAAGTTATACTTATAATTTTAAAAATAATTTTTAAAAATATAGTTGTTACACAGTAAGAACCAGAAGATGATATACTTATTTTATTAAATTTGAACTTTATATTGCTTAAGGCCTACTTGGAACAAATATATTCGCTCAAAATGATTTATTTTTAATTAACCGTAGTTAACTTTTAAAGAGGTAGTATGGTTAATTGTTAGTGGAATTTTGAGGTTATATTAAATAATTAAAGTTGATTTGATGTAAAATAAGAGAAAGATGATGTGTAGTGATTGTAAATTAAATTTATGTGAATGGGTGAATAGTTAATTAAAGTTGATATGTTGTGTAAGAATGATTGATTGATATTATTTAATTATATTGATAATAGGAGAGCGAAATTTAGTTAAAATTGAGTTAGATTTTGAGTATGAATTGAAAGATTTTATAAACATGCACCGGTTTAATATAATACAATTGATCTGCATGGGTGAAAGAGTACTCGTAAAATTAAAAATATCTTATGAGGAGAATATAATATAGAGAAATAAAAATAGAATAACGAAATAACAAAATTTGGCCGATAGTCAGTAAATTATTTTTAGTAATTGTTCAATATATACATGGATAAACATATGTGAGTTATGAAGAATCCAGACTCATTTCGGTGATTATTGCTATTAATAGTCGTCCTAAATATTTGGGTGATCATTCCCTTCCTCTTATGCTTCAGATAGTTCTTGAAGTCTTTCCAACTCGACGGTAGCTTCTCAATCACTGCCGTAACTTGGAACGACTCACTCAAAATCATTCTTTTAAAATGTATGTTGTGCAAGATCATTTGAAACTCTTGCATTTGTGACACGACGCTCTTGGAGTCGACCATTTTGAAGTCAAGAAACTTGCCGACGACGAACTTCTTCGCCCCGACATCTTCAGTCATGTACTTCTTGTCCAAAGTATCCCAAAGCTCTTTGGAAACCAAGTTGTACGCATTGTACAACTCTTTACGAAGTCCGTTCAGGACATAGTTACGACAAAAGTCGTAACCTTGCCCCCAATCTTCGTACGCAGCGCGTAGTTCAACATTTGTCTTATTTTAAGTAATAACCGATCGTCTTTTAGGTACTTCACCAAACCAAAAGCGGTTTGGTAAAATGCATCTTTTATTGTCATCTTCAAGTCAAGCCCGTTAAATTTCTCGGGATTCTCAGTAGTATAAACATGGACACCAGGTACAGGATGATGATGAACAATGTGGTTAATCGGCTACTGTTGGAACCATTTCCAGTGGATGCCATCATTTCAGTAGATTAAGATATTCGTTTTGCGATTGTTATAAAAATGGATGTCGAAATACACGGTAATCCTACGAACATAAGTTCGTACAATTGAAATAAAAATTAGAAATTTACAATGGAACTGAAATTAAATTACAGCTTGAAAAACGGAAAGATTATAGCCAAGGCGAGTCAACTCTTTCCGCAAGACTAATACGGCCCGTCTAGTGTTGACAGTTCAGACGCATCGTATCCAAAGATACAACGACAATTTCTCGAAGGCTGTAGCACACTAGTCTTACGAGCTCCAACGAACTAGAATGGAATCAAGAACTGAGCATATATAAATTAGAACGACTAAAAATCTCACTTTCCTTTTCTTTTCTTTTTTTAATCTTAATTCTCTTTCATTCTTTGTTACAAACTTTTCTCTCGTTCCTCTTTTCTGTTCTCTAACTTCAACTGAACACATACATATAAATAGAGATGAGGGTGCAAGCGGTGTGAGTGATTTTTAATCAAGTTGTTCAACTATAATAGTTGATCATTTCTTCACGTAATTGAGTTTTAGAGAGTGGACATTCAATTGAGCAACTTTTACTGTTGATCATTCTTTTCACTCACTTGAGCTTAAGAAAATGGACATTAAGTGGAGAAGTGTGGAAAGTGGGCCCTTTGACAATAATTTACACTGAGTAATTAATATAGACACTACGACAAAATGATAAAATTCCAACGGAAAATTCCATAACAAAAATACATTGTAATGGAATTGCAACAAAAATTCCAACAAAAATATTCTGTTAGAATGAATTTTTCATTTGAATTTCCGTTAAATTTTAGCGATTCCAACGGTAGATTTTCCAACGGAGATGGAAATAAAAATTCCAATAGAAATTTCTACGGTAAAAAACCGTGGAAAAAATAGCCGTTAGAAATATCAAATTCTATCTAAAATTCCAACAGAAAACTCATTCCAATGCACTATTTTCGTTGGAATAATTCCAACGGAAGTTATACCATTGGAATATCCGTTGAAATTTCTATTGAAATATATTACCGTAGGATTTTCTGTTGTAATATAACATTTTTTTTTAGTGAGAGTACTCGTAAAATTAAAAACATCTTACGAAGAGAAGATGATATAGAGAAATAAAAAGAAAATGTCAAAATAAAAAAAAAAAATTGGCCGAAAGTTTGTAAACTATTTTTAGTAAATGTTTAATTATTAATATATGGATAAACAGATGTGAGTTAAGAAGAATTGAGACACATTTGGGTGATTATTGCTATTAATAGCAGTCCTAATTATATGGTGGGAAGAGGAAAGAAATGACTAACAAAGCATTTTCGTGCTTTCAAACAACAAGAAAGCTGATGAAAAATAACGCTTGCGAAAAAGATGCAGCAATCATAATCCAAACAATCAAAAAACAATAACAATAACCATAATAATAATAATAAACAGGATCAAGGGCCAAAAAGATCTGAAGAAAACCAACAAATGGGAACATATAGAGCCGATGAGGATTATGATTACCTGTTCAAGGTGGTGCTGATAGGTGATTCTGGCGTCGGAAAATCAAATCTGCTGTCTCGATTTACAAAAAATGAGTTTAGCCAACAGTGCAAATCTACCATCGGCGTTGAGTTCGCCACGCGATCCATTCACGTTGATGACAAGGTTGTCAAGGCCCAAATTTGGGATACCGCCGGCCAGGAAAGGTAATTTTACAATTTATGTTCTATATTTATATTTTTTTTTTTTCCAAATACATGCATGATGTGTGGACATATGTTGGAAAAAGTAAGCACGTTTGACTAATTAATTACGTTAATTATTTCAAAATATATTCGATTGCAACTAATAAACCAAAGGTAAAAACCGAGAATCTGAAGAAATATCAATATATATGGCGGAAAAGAGTTTTTTGATCCGTTATCCGACCTCAATTTTGAATTTGCTCTGTAAAGTGTTCACTTTTGAATTCAGTCCATTATCTGGAAAAAAAAAATAAAAAAAAAAATAGAATTTTGGTCCTTTAACTGGCTACATCGGTATTCTAATGTGCCGTATATATATTAAAACAAACTAGCAATTTCGTCCTTTATTTTATATCACTCATTCAAATCTTGTTATTGAGAGTCAGTTTGGATTGTGATTTTGTGACTTGGGCCTATATTTTCTTGGAATTGGAAATTTTGTTCTTGATTTGGATTTATATAGCAAGACAAATATGAGAGTTGCATAATGTGAGTGGTTGGGATGCAAATAAATGTATGGTTAAGATCAGACTTAATGATACTTTTAACTAATATTATTAACTAATGTTGTAAACAACAATTGTACATGTAACATTGCCCAAAAATTTATTTATATATTTGTGTTATTAAACCATACCAATACCAATTAGGTACCGTGCTATCACGAGCGCTTACTATAGAGGAGCGGTTGGGGCATTACTTGTGTACGATGTGACACGCAACGTGACATTTGAAAACGTGGAGCGGTGGCTGAAAGAGCTGCGGGGCCACACGGACTCCAACATCGTGATAATGCTGGTCGGTAATAAAGCCGACCTTCGCCACCTGAGAGCCGTGCCCATGGAGAAGGCCAAGGCTTTCGCGGTTAGAGAGAACATATTTTTCATGGAGACCTCGGCACTCGAGGCCATCAACGTCGACAAGGCTTTCACAGAGGTGTTGACTCAAATCTATCACGTTGTCAGTCGAAAGGCGCTCGATATTGGGGACGACCCATCGGCTCTACCCAAGGGACAAACCATTAATATCGGGAATAAAGATGATGTCTCGGCTGTCAAGAACACTGGCTGCTGCTCCGGCTAACTCTGATTATTTTGTTTTCTCACGTGTATGTATGAATGTTAGACAGTTTGATTAATTTGGTTTTAATTTGTTGTTGCCTCACTGAATTTACATTCATTCTTGTATACTAATTACTGGAAATGTTAGAAAAACATTGGAATTAATTATGCCCTTTATACAAGAAGAAGACAATATTTGGTTGTTAACTATTGTGTTAATTTGGGTTTCGATTTATGAAATATGAATAGTTCAAGTGTCGTGGATCATGCAATAGTTATGTCATACAAGAACATTGCAGTTAATGACACGGAGACGATGTGAAACTTAGTCGTGTAACTTCATCTCTTCTAATCTGGGTATTAATATGGATTTCTATCTAAGCAATGTGGATCTAATTCGTGAATATCACATAAAAGGTCAATATACATTGAATATATGAATATTGACCATTGGATATGAAAGCTTGGTTGGAACCAGTGCTTGTTTTATAAACTGTTTTT